ATCTGAGCTTTTTATGTCATGGAACCTGACCTCGCATCAACCTTGCCTTATTCCCATGCAGGGCCATTTCCGTGGTTCCGGCACTAAACTTTGCCCCCTGAAGTAAACACAGTCTCTCTTCCTCAGAGAAAACATGTGAAAGGTATTGGTGTTCTTGCTGCACCCTCCAGGTACAGATTCTTCTCCCCATCAACAACTTTGTTAGAGCTATACTTGTTGTTGCATGAGGGGTGGTTCTACAGTTGAACAAGAACTGGCACAGTTTGGTATCAGGTGATGAGGTAGGCTTTCAACCTGCCTTCAACATCTGGACCACACTTTCCACCAGACCATTGGATGATGGATGGTGTGGAGCTGTTCTTTTGTGCTGAATGCCATCTAATTTTTGGAAATGCTCAAACTCCCTGCTGGTAAATAATGTCCCATTGTCCGTGACCAATTCTTCTGCGACTCCATGTATCCCGTCACCAAGTTACCCTTTACTTACATGTGCACAGTACAGTGGCTGTTTCCAGCCAGCTCAGAGTCAGTCCCTGAAGTGAGGAGATTCTGAATCCACTGTTTATACTGGTCGCCCACGGTTTCCTGATTGGCCAAGGTTAACAACCTCAAATCAAGGATCTCAGTCAATAAGACCTATCTGGTTCCAATCACTAAAAACGTCTGTTTATTTTCTCTTGGTTTCTGCATCTATGCACTGATTACCTTACGTTAACTGTTTCTCTAGCCACAGATGCTGCTGGACCTGCTGAATTTCTCTAACACTTTCTGTATTCATTGCAGATTTCCAGCATCTGTCGTATTTTCCTTTTATTTGAGTAGCTAGTCCAAAGACCTAGTACGGGTTTGATGGGCTGAATAGCATCTTGCTATGCTGTATTATTTTACCAACTTGCTGGTGTACTGCTTATAGGCCAAGGGTCACCAGTTTGCATGAACCAGTAGCTCTTATTATTCACAAAAGGTACCAATTGAATCTCTGTAGAACTCATGAAAACTCTTAAAACAAAGTCTTTTTCAAACATTGTAACTTTTTTTTAGCAATTTCCACAGAACTTTTAAACAACCAATTTTCCTTACTGTATTTCCAGGTAGTCACAGGTGCGGCAGGTGACAGATTATGTCTGGGCATGCTGATTTTTTTTTTTTTTGTTTCCTTGGCAGGGATGCAGTTGTTATTTTGATTGGTTGGGGTTTGGGTTTGAGGGGAGAGTGGGGAAGCTCCTTTGGTGTTAGACTTCCACGCAGTCCTCTGCATCCACTTGACCCTTTCTCATTTTCCTGGATTGGGTCATTTATTGAGTATATCAGGCTCCCAGCAGGATTCTCACCATCAAGAGGGAGTGTGCCTATGCTTTGAGAAAACTTTGATGGTATCTACTGTTACAACACTAGAAAATAAAATAATGAATCTGAAATAGGAAGAATAAGAAATAGGAAGACCCCAAAAATTAGAATTAAGACTCTCTGTAGGTTGGTGCTAACTGAGCCGTTAATGGCTAGGTTTCAGAAGGAGAGGTGGCACTACAGGTCCTCTCCCTCTACTAGGAGAATGTGATGCTTATACCATAATCTCAGAGGGCAGAGCAGTGTTCAAGGAGCAAAGCTCGATTTTAAAAAAAAGTCCACCTTCTGTGCTATAGTTTTCTCTAAATGGGGCATGGGCAGAAGTGAACTTTGACAGTGATTTTGGCCTTGGTTTCCTTGCATATGTTGGGAAGGGAAGGAATAGTTAATAGTAGTTCCCACATTAAAGGAAATCCTGGTTGGTTCAGTCATTTGGTAAGGGTGTCACTGCCTGAACTTTTGAATTATGAGCGCAATTTTGGAAAAGAATTCTTTCTAAATTGCAATTCCAATGTTACTTTCAGTGATATACATTGGATTATGTGACTGAAGAGCAAGTTGCATGATACTCTTTCTAGTCAGAAACAACGTGCATCAGAGAAGTTAAGGATAAATAAAGACTATCGTTAGAAGCTACAGGCCCAATAAAAGTTGACAGTTAACAAGACAAGATGCAAATTGCTTTACTGAAATCAACTGACTGAAAGGAATAACAATGAAAGCTAGAAGTGTTTTTGTTTTCAAAAAGGAAATACAAAAGCCTATTTTCATAACAATTATACATGTAATTAGATGAAACTACTACAGCACATTTACAGAGTTTCTGCCCCAAAATGTTTATTTGCTTTTATAAAGACAGATATTAAGCTGTTGTTAGCTATTACGTAATGTCATTAAGAGAATGTAATAAAATTCTTTGGAATATGTGGTGGTTTTAATTAAATATGAACATTGAGGCATGTAATCTGTAAGCTATTTGGTTTGTTGACCATTCATTGGATAAATGACATATTCCATGATATTATTTTACTGACTTTTACCTTCATGTGATGTTGCAGTTTTTCAGTCGTATCTTTTGCTTTCTCACAGAAGAGACAAACAACACAAACTGGATGATCTTGCCAATCTGACCAATCACTGTAAAAATAATGTAAAAATAAATCACCAGAAAAATTCATATGTTAAATATAACAGGCGGTTCCTATTCTTAAAAACTCCTCTTAAATACTACACAAATAGCCAAATGCTTCACAACTGAAGTTGACACTTTCAGGTCCTGCACAAGTTAGAATACAATATAAAAGAATATAGCCTTCTTATAACTGACACTAGCGAAACAAGCATAAGACTTGGTGGCAATATCATATTGGCACTTGCTTGACTATGTTGTTGTTTGGGCAAGGAATGTACATTATGTTCATAGCGACTGCATAAACTCAAAATCCACAATGAGCACCTATGAAGATAATGGACAAAAGTACAAATTGGTGGAAAAGCTCAGCAGGTCTGGTAATAGCTGAGGAAAGAAATCAGAGTCAACGTTTCAGATCGAGTGACCCTTCCTCACAACTTAATGGAACGGAAATCCTGTTGGAGAGAGCAGCAGAACTTCCTCAAGGTAGGCATGCCTAGAACAGAAGTGGCAGGGAGATAAATACTAAATAAAAACGAAAGAACTGCAGATGCTGTAAATCGGAGACAAAAATAGAAATTGCTTCAAAAGCTCTGCAGGTCTGGCAGTCTGAATAGAATTCTGAGGAAGGGTCATTTGACCTGAAAAGTATACTGTGAATTTACTCCACAGATGCTGCCAGGCCTGCTGAGCTTTTCCAGCAATTTCTATTTTTGTTCTGATTTACACTGTCCGCACTCCAGCAATCATGGTGACTGGCCCACTGAAAATGACCAAGAGCTACATAGGAGCTAATCAAAACTTTCACTAACTGGAAACAGCACCGCAATGAAAAAAGTACTGTTGGTTCCATTAGTGGGAATCAAACAGTCTGTCTCAGTGAAAACTGGGGTTAAATAAGCGGTGACATGCACCAACTCGCTTTTCCACATTCCTCATTGCAATACTGTATCTCACCTCCAGCAAATTACCCATGCAAATGATTTACAAATTGAGTAGGTACAAATTATGAAAGGTGGAGTTTGATATTACTCGTTTTATGTTTGCCATTGGCAGCATGCTACTGCAATGAAAATTTCTTCTTGCAGAAATACAAAATGGCTCTCCAAGGTGTAAACATGAAGAATAAAAGAAATCTACGAAAGAAATCCAACTTATCACTGTGTCAGTAATATTGAGCATATATGGCAGTTAATAAACACAATAAATTTTATTGTCAGGGGTTGTCAACATTCCATCAGTTTTCCAAGTGCAAGAACTTGGGTGTATTCTGTCCCATGACATAGTATGCTGTAACGGAGGGTAGAAAACAAGCTTACATCAATAATTATTTTTTCCTCCATTAATTGATGCAAGAGAGGCATGAGTTCAGAGCTACAAACTAATCTCTATTTCACATTTCTTTCTGCTCAATTTTAGATCTGAACGTCAATTATTCATTTTGAGGCTGACTGAATTTAAAAAAAATCTTAATAACATGGAAAATAAATGGATTGAGTAAGACTGCAAATGGAAATTATAAAATGCTATATCTTCTGTCTTGTGGTGTCTGATGAATTTGAATAACAAAACTGCTAGTTCTTCATTTTTGTGATGTATGACTTAACTTAAATCATGAGACTGCATCAGTGCATTGTAATTTCCACCAGGTTTCTTTGATTCATTTCCCAAAATAAAGACAACTTTCTTACAGAAAGCACAAAATGATAACGGTAGAAGTTTGAAGTCTTTCAACCACTTACTCATCTTGCTCTTCTGTCATTTCTCTGTCATCTTCAGCCTGAACTTCCTCCCAGTTCTTCCCGAGTTCCTGAAAGTCAAATTTAACATTAGTTTTCACAGCTGTGAGGAAAAACTAAAAGTATTCTTGTCCATTTGGTTAAATGCAATACGTAGTTAGTTGCTTGATTTTTAAGTCACAAAGCTACACTGCATTATAAGTTACTCAATGAGTTACCCAACATTTCAACTTCCAATTGAAACCTTATGCTATATATCCTTCCTTCAGATCAATTTATATAATAAATGGAAATGTACTCTATAGCACAGGAAATTATTTTGATATGAAATGTCAGCTCAGGTTTACTTTACCTACAGATGCAAGTATCTAAGTTTTCCTTTGAAGCCTCAAAAAATCCCATCAAAAACAGGGTGAAGTGTATAAATAGTGCGGAGTTGGAGGAGCACAACAAGCCAGGCAGCATCAGAGGAGCAGGAAAGCTGACATTTCGGGTCCCTTCTTCAGCTGAGGCTGACTCCTAATGTATGTATAGCATGTCTTGGCAGAAAATGAGATTCAACCTATAAATAAAAACCAAAAGAACTTTGGATGCTGTAAATCAGGAACAAAAAAAGAAGTTGCTGAAAAAGCTCAGCAAGTCTGGCAGCATCTGTGAAGAAACAGAGTTAAAGTTTTGGGTCTGGTGACCCTTCCTGAGAACTGATGGTAGCTGGGAGAACATCGGTTTATATGCAGAAAATAGGGAGGGGGCTGGGGTAGGGAGTAAATGATAGGATAGAGCCTGAGGAAAGGTCACTGGACCCGAGACATTAACTCCGATGTTTTCTTCACATATGCTGCCAGATCTGCTGAGCTTTTCCAGCAACTTCTGTTTTTGTTCAACCTATAAGTATATGCAATACATAATTTTGGGGGTCAAAAGTGGGGTCGGTCACAGGTGCCGGGTCAACTTTTGTTGTGACTTGTCGTGTACCAAATTGAGGAGTTTCTTTCTTCTAAAAATCATAAATGAATTAACAAAAAACAAATTAACTTCTGAGCTTTACAAGCTTAAATCGACATTTTGATGAGAATGGAATTCATCAGTAGTGTTGAGTGATGACAAAAAAAATTAAAAAAAAAAAAAAAAAACTTATCACCTGCACATTAATGGAAACAAAAAAAAGGCTGTTGAAATGATTGGACAAATTACACCTGAAAGATTGTCAATTTGCAAACTACATTGGAAGTAGAACAGGACAGTTTGCTGTAAGGGAAGGATAATCAGTCTGACGTGAAGAATGCTATTTCTTCAGAGGTCTTCATGTTGTAATAATAGTAATTTATAGCTTTTCTTTGTAAGGGGCCAATGATTCTTATATTGCAATATTTCAAAATAGCTCCAAGTGCATAAAAATGCTAAAGCAATAATCAGTGAACTTCTGGCTCCAGGAGGAGTTAATGTGAAGTAATCACTGTTTAAATGAGAGAAAATGCTCAAAGACTTCCATGGCTTGCTTATTTCTAGGGTTTCAGCAAGGTTTCAATATTATGCTACAAGGACAACAGTTAGTTTTACTCAAAGAAAAAAAAATTGGGTAAACCATTATCTTTCTGAATTAGAGTTTAAAATAAAACTGGTACTGAATGACACAATTAAAACCTGACTTCTAATTCATGGTTTAACTTTGCAATACAGCAATTATGTGTGGTGAGAGAAATTTTTGATAACAAGGAATTATAGTGAACTTGTTAGTCCAATGAAAACAAATGTGTTAGCTGAGTAGTAATCAACTGGATCCAAGAAGGTACACTAATGCTAGGTAATGAAGAATTTTCAGATCATAGGAGTAAGGGAAAAATATATCAAATTGCATCAATGAATTAGATTCATGTAATTCTATCAACTTGAATACTGCTGTCAGAATGGCTAATGTTTGAATTCCCAACTATTAGGTATGGTTGTGAACACTGGACTTATAAGTGTATATGCAAATTTATTAAGTAGATGGAAACAAACTTCTGAAATGTTTGATCGCTATTGATTTTGAACATTTAATCATAACTAAAAAGCATTTCTAAAACAAAAGACAGTTGAAGTGACAGTCTGCAAACCATTAATTATGAACATCTGACGAAGCAGCTCTCAATACTACTGCAGACTTATCAAACAAATTTAATCAGTTTTAAATGTTTCATGACAACACTTTTATAACCAACATCCTCAGAGTAATATTGAATCAAATTGTTTCCTTAACTTTGGTCACCCGTCAAAGGAAAGTTTCAAAATTCTTTTAGTGATACACGCTTGAATTATTCCGTTATTTCAATAAAGATGTTAAAATAAACAAGATAATGTCAGGAATGAAGTGGATAGCAGAATTTCGTTGAATTCATTAAATTCTGTGCACTAATCTCTCCAACAACAATTTTGATCTTTATATTGTTTTAATTTATTAGACTCTAAAACTGCACACAAATCTTACCAGATAATTGATGGTGTAAAATTTGTCATATTCATGATTTTTGGAATTGATTCTGCGATGCTGCTTTTTCCTCATATGATCTTTGAGAGTAGTCTTGTCACGGAATGTTTTCTCACAGTATAAACACTGTAAACTGCAGAAACAGACATTTGCTAATAACACAATTTTGAAGTACAAAACCCTACTTAAATCTTCAATGATCGCATAAATGTAATAAACCACAAAATCATTTGAAAGATCTAAAACCTTGAAATCTTATCATTGGTAATTATTTGTGTTTGCATAACTGAATTGAGGGCAAGATAAAAATAACCACAGATAAAGCAGACATCACTCTTTAATGTTTCATTTATCTGGATTCAATACCACATTCAAGTGTGATTTGAATATTCCTACAGGACCGTCAGACAATAATTCAGCAGACTAGTTAATTTCATCACCAAAGAATCAGAGACTCAATGAACAGAATACATTCCAACAAAAAAAAAGCACATTTTGTACAAGCTTTTAGTTTTGCACTCCTCAGAATAATTCTCAAGAAATACCAAGGGAAAGGGAAAACAATGATGCTGAATAAGAATGCTGATTGGTTGGCATATGGATTCGAATTTGT